GAAATATACAAACACAGGTTTTGTTTCAACAAATAGTAAAGGAACAATTACAATAACACATAATTGTCACAATCAGATTAATAAGAGTATTGAAAATATTTGTAATATCAGGTATTGGTGACTGTGAAAGGAAAGTGTGTATTCATAGTCCCTTTAGCATATTTTGCAATGGTGGTTTGGAGGAGGTGCGTTCTTTTAGCCTTCTCTTTCTGTGAAACTCCTTATTTTGCCTTCCATTTTAATTGAGAGCCTTGCTACGTAGAGCAGTCTTGGTTGCAGACCTTTGCTTTTTATTCCTTGGAATATTTCTTGCCATTCACTTCTGGCTTGTAGTGTTTCTGTTGAGAAGTCAGCTGCTAGCCGTATCGGGGCTCCCTTATGTGTTACTACCACTTTCTCCCTTGCTGCCTTTAGGATTCTCTGTTTGTCTTTGGTATTTGCCATTTTAATGATGATGTGTCTTGGAGTGGGCCTCATTGGGTTCCTCTTGAATGGGACCCTCTGTGCTTCCTGGACTTGTGTGATTTTTTCTCTCCTCGAATTAGGGAAGTTTTCCATCATTACTTTTTCAAAAAGGTTCTCTATCCCTTGCTCCTCTTCTTCTCCTTCTGCTATCCCTATTATATGGATATTATTACGTTTCAGGTTGTCCTGCATTTCCCTAAACACCTCTTCATTCTTTTTGAGTCTTTTTTCATTTTCTTCCTCTTTCTGGGAGCTTTTTTCTACCTTGTTCTCCAGCTCACTGATTTGATCCTCTACTTCATCGAGCCTGCTTTTGATTCTTTCTACTGTGTTCTTTAATTCAGAAATTGTATTCTTCATTTCCTCTTGTGTCTTGTTGACAGTTTCTGTGTCCTTTTCCATGCTGATATAGTTTGCAGTAAGTGCCCTGTAGTTTCTCTGTAGTTTTTGGTAATTCTCTCTGAGCTCACTGAGCTCATTGAGCTTCCTTAGAACCATTGTTTGTAACTCAATATCTGATCATTTACTTGCCTCTATTCCTTTTAGTTCTCTTTCTGGGGGTTCCTCTTTTCCCTTTGACCGGGGATGGGGGCAGTTTCTTTGTCTTATCATTGTTTGTGAGACTCTTCTTTTATGCTTCTGCTTCTTAAATTGATCTGTCTTGATTTCCTGACTTTTTGGTGTGAACTTCTATGGTAGAAGACCGCTGCTTTTACTTTCTGGATCTGCCTCTGATGATGTCCGATGTTGACCCTTTCTGACCTTAGGCGGTCTGTCAAGACTTCCAGGAATCTACTGTCTGTAGCTATCTCCTTCAGTTGTTATTCTATTCACTCTGCACTCAGCAGGTGTCTTAGACAGCTCAGGGTGGGGCTGAGTCCCTCCTGGGGGTGGGGTTATTGGGTTCTCTCACGCTGCTGCCACTCTTGGGAGTGGTCTGCCTGAGCAAGATGGCTGCTGCCATATGGGGGATGAATCAGCTCTGGAATCCCGCCAGCTACTCTCTCAGTTCTCTCTCCAAATCTCCATCTCCAGTCTGTCCTCAGGTGTCTCTAGACCACTGTGCACCCCCTTTAGCCAGGGATATACTATCTGTAGCTGCCACTCTGCACTCAGGCCAGCTGAGACAGCACAGGGTGGGGCAGAGTCCTTCCTGGGGTCTGGGTTATTGGGTCCTCTCACGCTGCTGCTGCTCAGGGGAGTGGTCTTTCTGAGCCAGATGGCTGCTGCCATCTGGGGGAGGAGTCAGCACTGGAGTCCCACTGGCTACTCTCTCTGTTCTCTCCCCAAGACCTTTTTCCCCTGTCTCTCCTCAGGTGTCTCCAGCCCTCTCTACTCCTGCCTTTGCCAGAGACCAGAGTAAGTGGCTACAAATAAAAATTTATGTGTTGGCCCTTTAAGCAGCTCTTTGTGTCTTCAGCCACCTGTCTCTGGTAGAGAGCAACCCTTACACTTTTCAGAGCTTTGTCCTTTTTGGCTCTGGTGCTGTAGGCTGGGGAATCCCACTTATAGTTTAGACCCCACTCTTCTTTGGGGGATCCCACTGGCTGTGTCAATATCCTTCTGGTGCTGCTGCCGGTGGGCACCCCTCCTGCCTTCTTGAGTCTGTACCACACTCCTTACCAGTTAGGTTGTGCTAAAGCTGATTCTTCTGTCTGTCGGAGGTTATAAGGCTCCTCTCTATTGTTCAGTTGTTTGTTCCAGGTGGTTTCTCCCCAATTTAGTTGTAATTCCAGATTGGTCCTGGGGGAGGTCACTGTGACCTCCACTCACTCCTCTGCCATCTTGATTCTCCCTGTTTTTTCATTGGATTATTTGTTTTTTCTATGTTGAGTTTTGTAAGCACTTTATAAATTTTGGATATGAACCCTTTATCAGATGTATCGGCAAATATGTTCTCCCATTCTGTGGGCTGTTTTTTTTATTTTGTTGATGATTTCCTTTGCTGTGCAAAAAGTTTTTAGTTTGATGTAGTTATGGAAGTTTTCAGTCTTTATTTTTTCAAATAGATTCTCAACCCCTTCCTCTCTCTCTTCTCTTTCTAGTACCAATATGATGCAGCTGTTCTTACACTTGGTGTTGTCCCAAAGATCCCCCAGGCTGTCCTCATTTTTTAAATTTTTTTCTTTTTGCTACTCTGATTGGGTCTTTTCTGCTACATTGTCTTCCAAGTCACTGACTTGATCCTCTGCTTCATTTAATCTGCTCTTTATTCCTCCTAATGTCTTCTTTATTTCAGATACCGTATTCTTCATTTCTGATGTTCTTTTTTATGGTTTCTATGTCATTTTAATGCATTTTAAATTCTCACTAAGTTCTTTGAGCATTCTTACAGCTATTGTTTTGAACTTTGTATCTGGTAGGTTGCTTGCCTCCATTTCCTTTAGTTATTTTTCTAAAAATTTCTTGTGGTTTTTCATTTGGGACATGAGTCTTTGTCTCCTCATCTTGGCTGTTTCCCTGTATTTGTTTCTATGTATTAGGTAGGTCTGCTACATCTCCCAGTCTTTGCGCAGTGGTCTTATGTAGTAAGTGTCTTGTGGGGCTCATTGGTGCAGTCTCCCTTATTTACTGAGCTAGGTGATCCAGGAGAGTCTTTTATGTGAACCCTCCTGTTGTAGTTGAGTCTTGATTGCTGTTGATTCAGATTTCTTAAATAAAACAAGAGCGTGTGGCTGCTCTGTCTCTGCTTTTACAATCTGACATAGATCTTACTGACTATTTAATGTTGAAACATTGATTGGAATTGTGGTTTCTAATTATAATGTTGTGCCGAAGAGGATAATGGAACTTTTTTTGGCATCTTTAATATCGATTTATTCATCAATTCAGCCATCATTTATTAAAAGGCTTATATACGCCCAGTGTTAATGTTGAACACGATTACTGATTTATTATGAGAGGGTATAACTCAGGAATAGCCAAACAAAGAGATGCAGAGAGCAAGGTAGTGGGAAGGGGCATAGAATTTCCATGCCTTCTCCAGGTGCACCACTCTCTCTACACATGCACCTGTTCACCAACCAGTAGAAGACTGTCAGATAATCTTTATTAAGATGATTTCCAAGTTACTCTTCTCTCTCTCACACTCCTTTTGAAACAGATGTTATTAACGCAGTTAAGGGTCTAGTGGAACTGATGTAGTCATGTAACATGAATGTGTAAAAATCATGAGTTTCCAGGTAAACCCATCAAGTTTTCTTGTTTCCACTTCCATTTTTATTGTCTAATTTGTGCATGTGCTTCTTTTAATCATTTTTAAGCAAAATTCATTAACTGGAAACAAGAAAAAGTAATTGCTGTCAATCTCCAGGTAGATATATTAGAAAAAAGGACATTATGTTGTCAGAATTTTAGCACAGAGAAAAAAATGGAACAAGTTTGACCAAGTCCATTTAAGTGATCATTTACAGAAGAATTCTTAAAGACTCAACAAAAATAGACCTGCAAATTAAGAGAAACAAGAGGTATTATTGATGAGGAATCTGAGGAAATAACTCCTGCAATATAATTAAATGCTCTGTTTTTTTAAACCCCATTTTTTATGGCCTTTAAATGTTTATCACTGTGTACACAAACTGTCTTAATTTAATAGCTTTTCATGATTTATAGACATGCTTTTTAATTTCACCTTACCTTAGCACCTAGTACAAGTGCACACAGATATTTGTTGGTGAGTAAAGACAGGTAGGCCTCACTTTGTACAAATGACATTCTGAATGAAAATTTTATATATATCACAATATGCCAGGAAGAAATAATCGTGAAAGATAGACACAGCACATGGAAAAAGCCTATGAGGCTGGAATCTAGTCCCAACTCTACCACTAACTTGCCAAATGACCTTGAGCAAATCACTTGATACTACTCTAATTCATTTTTCCCATCTTTAAAATGAGACAGATAATTGAGACAATCGCTAAATTCTCTTTCAGTTCTGATATTCTATGAAATCTTAGTTCAAATATAATAACAATTAATATTCAGTAAATACTTGCTTTGTGCCAGATACATTTTCATGCATTAACTCATTTTAAATCTCAAGTAAACTTGTGAGGTAGGTACTGTTAGGGAAGTTAAGGATTTTTCACAAGGTCACAAAATAGTATGATTGGGCTTCTCACCTAGGCAGTTTGACCTTAGAGCCAGCATGCAACCTCTACACTATGTTACCTCTAAATATACAAAAGAGGGTTGGTATTTAAAGATGTTCTATCGTGAATAGTTTGGAAAAATGAAAAATCATCTAATTTATCAGCTTTTAAGTTCTTAAGTTTTAAGTGTTTCCATTTGCTTTTTTATTTTAAATCAGGCTATACCTGTATTTGTTTAATGAGTACAAATTCTTACTCGATGTTTAAGATAAGGAAGATAACAAAGAATAAAATTTAATCCCTTCCGTTGTCTCAGCAGGCTGATGATTTCCTAAAGTATCATTGACAAAGTTGCTTAAAAATAATGCTATGGAAAAATGGATTAGAAAAATAATATTTTAAAAATACCACTAATTTTGACCTTTTTCTTTCTTTTTACAGTTACTGTTTTGAGCTCAGCAGAAAAAGGTAAGAGGGTGTTGTGGATTGTATTGATCAGCACTGTATCCCCTCACTGTATCTAAAAGTGAATTAATTACATAAAAGTTTATAATTTGAGCAACTTTCCCAGTAACACACTGAGGTGAGTGTGTTTTCAGGAAGTTACCCAGAGGTAGAGCAGAACATATTTTCAGTGGCCCCTTTGGCTATAAGACAGATATTGAAAGTTACCAAGATTTATGACAGAGAAGAGCACAGATAACCACTCTGTTTGCTGTGGTGACCCTAGGCTCTCTCTTGGTTCATCACTATTTTCCTAGGTACCTTGCCTTTTTACCCAATTCACCCCCTCTTCAAGGCATGGAGTAAGGGCTTCATAGAGGGCTTCTAAGTCTTTTACCATAACAGTTCCTATATATTTATTGTACTCCTTTCCATTTCTCATTCCCATCTTGGCCTTATCTGCAATCTGTACTACCATTCTAATGAGATTGAGGTATTTTCCATTAAAAAACATGTAAGCTATGCATGAGTATTAATAAACCTTTAGTTTTACATTATTTTTTCAAGTATAATCATAAGTATTTATGTCACCACTTTTATGGCCACTTTTAATTCTCACTTCATGGGTATCGTTGTAATTCATTAACTACAAAGCATTCATATTGTGCTGTTTAAAGCTCCAGTTTGCTGTTATTCAACAGAGTTGTGGCTATAGAGGCTGCAGAGTTGTGGGAAGACAGTAGGTCATAATAGTTAAAAGTATGAGTTCTGGAGCTGAACTGTGTAAATTCAAATTCTGCCTTCAATACTTCTTAGTAAATTATTTTACCTTCCTTTTGCTCATTCTATTCATGTTTAAAATGGAACTATTAACACTACCTAGTTCATAAAGTTGTTGCGAAAATTTAATGAGTTAATGCATGTAACGCAAAACAGTGGTAAGTAAAGCACCTTAGAGCAAGTCTTGAGTTGCCTCTTATTCTTATGTATGGTCCTTAAGGTCAGAATCATATATATAATAAATAGTTTATGCAATAAACTTTTAAAACAACTTAGTGGGGGTTTAGATGTTGCTCTACCATTACAGGAATAATGATAACAATATTGTTATTATTATTGAAAACTATAATTTATTGTGCCAGGTATCCTGCTAAGATATATATATATATATATATATATATATATATATATATATATATATATCTTCCAATATTTACATCAACACAATGATATAGACACAGTTATGTCCATTTTATTGAGAAGGAAACTGAAGTTTAGAGAGGTTAAATAACATCCCAGGTCATCTAACTAGTAAATAGTAGGTTTCAAACTCAGAACTCTCTGACTTCAAATTCCATGCTCTTAAGCAAACTTGTACATCTGTTTTACTTGTCAATCTGCAACTCTCTTATTTGCTTACTTGAGCTTCTTCCTCAGAAACCTGATGCTCAATTACTCTTTTTTCTTGTGTCCAAAGTGCTATATCTTCATGTTTTATGTCTTATGAATAACTCAATCATAGCAGTATAGATTGTCATTTGTAAACCCCTCTCAGTTCAAAGCCTTCCTGGTAGCAGCAGTCTAGTTACCAGGATTTGAGCTCTTTAGGAGATTATGTTGCCATAGTGTATGATTTTTAAGGTACCTTTTGATTCTAGAATTCTGTGACCCCAAAGCACTTTTCACCTGATAGCTCTTGCATTTATCAATACAGTAAAAAAATAAGAGTAGATTATGCTTCTTTATTCTACATGGGGGCAAAATGGGACAAAATGCAGGATTTAGGGACAGGATATCTGTGTTGAAGTTCCAGATCTCCCATTTATTAGCTCTATTAAATACTTTTGGTAAGTAACTCAACTTCCATGAACCTCAAATTCTATAAAGTGATGCTAGTTTAATAACATCTTACCAATTTATTTTAAACTGGAGAGAATAAATGTATACAACAGTAAAATAAACTGCTTTGTAAATATTAAGTATTAACAATCTCACTTGTAACATTTTCTTATGTGTCAGGATTCTCAAAGACAGTGGAATTCATAAACTAAAATCAGGTTAGATTGTAACCAGAAGGTTGAAACTTAGACCTGTAAAGAATTTGTGAACACTAAGTCAGTTTACTAGGATATGCCATGGAACCTACTTTTCAGAAAGTATCAGACACCCAACTACCTGGCATGAATCAATGAGCCTTGCCTAGAAGCACACTAGTAGGCCTAATGACTATCTGAGGTCTCTGCTAACCCTGTGACTCTCCTGTGACTTGTTTCAAATTACACTTCACTATTAAGGATGCAATACAGCATATGAATGCCAGCAGGAACACTGTTTGGCAGAGGCAAAGAAAATATAAGGGGCAAAGAAATGAAATCCTCAAATGACATAATTTTTGTCTCCACAGCTTAAGAAAACCATAGTTAAACAGACTGTAAAAGTTTTTCTCCATTTTTTGTCTGCTTAATGGTTCCTCTCCTGGTTTGAAGAATGTCCCTCCAAAATTTGTGTCCATCTGAAACCTATGTATGTGACTTAATTTGGAAATAAAGTCTTTGTAGATGTAATCAAGTTAAGTTGAAATCATGCTGGATTTTTGGGCCCTATGACTGGCGTCCTTATAAGAAAAGGAAAAAGCGGATGCATAGATAGATAGAGAGAGAAGATGGCCATGTGAAAACAGAGGCAGTTTAGAGTTAAGCTGCCACAAACCAAAGAGCAGGAAGAATTTTCAGGAACCACCAGAAGCTAAGAAGAGGCAAAGAAGGATCCTCTCCTGGAGCCTTCCAAGAGAAAGCATGACCTTGCCTATACCTTAATTTCCAACTTCCAGCCCCCAGCACTGTAAGAATAAATTTCTGTTTTTTAAAGCCACCCAGATTGTGGCAATTCGTTTTGACAGTCCTAGGAAACTAATACAGTACCTGATAAATTTTAATCTCTAATGTACTGTTAAGAGCATTGTATCAGTAGCAAATAAGCACAGACTTTGGTGTCATATACCTGGTGTCACCTCTTGATTTTGCCACTTAGTTTATATATGACCTTGGGGAACTTAACCTCACTAAGTTTCACTTTCTTTCTCTATAAAATGGGGATAACAATCCCTACCTCTCATGGTTATTTGGAGCATAAGATGAGATGATGTACAAGGCCTGTCCAGAAAGTATCCAGCCAATGTACTATAAAACCAGAGGCATTTATTGAAGAAGATACAAGATACAAGGAACATTGTACAAAGGACAATGGCACCTCAGTCCCCTTCAAAATAGGCATGTTGGGACCTCACAGTTCTCCCAGTCGCCATCAGCTGCCCCATTGTATTTTCCTGAATCTCATCGATGGTCTGAAATCTCTTCCCTTTCAAGGGTGATTTTAGTTTTGGGAAAAGCCAGAAGTTGCAGGGCACCAAATCTGGGCTGTAGAGGGGTTGAGTCACCTGAGTGATTTGATGTTTTGCCAAAAAGCTCTGAATGAGACATGGTGCGTGAGTGGGCACATTGTCTGATGAAGCTGCCAGTCACCAGTTGCCCAAAGCTGTGGCCTTCTGAATCATCTGCATAGTTTCTATGGAGGAATCTTCAAGCTTAATGCAAAATTTGATGCAGATTTGTTGCTCTACTTGCTCAGTCATTTTGAATGTGATGGCCCCACAGTACACATGTTCACTCAACAGCATGTACCACTCCCACTGATAGTACAGTGAAGTCATCATTGTACACACATGTGCATTCCAGTCCACTCTCCTTGGCTGCCAGGTTACATCTATGTCACAGAAACTTTTCTCATTATATTAACAATGGCTGGACATTTTCTGGACAGATCTTATCTATAAGTCTTTTGCATCTATGTATATAAGTGCCTGACATATATAAGTACGAAATACAAAATAAATAGTAGTAGATACTATTATTGTTATTGGAAAGGCCTTAAAAGCTCTTTCTTCCAAGAAGCATAACATATTTCAGAACTGTAATTCCTAATACTACCCTTATAAATATATTGTCAAAATCCATGCACTCATATATTGGAAGTAGAGGAACTCATATTTTGGAAGTAGAGTAAGACTCAAAGAAGTAAAATATGTTGACCTAGTCATAATACTGATTCTAGTGCATAGAAAGGACTAAAGCCCAGAGTACCTGGACCAGAGTCTAGAATATTACGTATTATATCAAACTTGATTATACAGGACACAGAAATTCTCTTTTAAAGACATGACCTCATATCTTCTATAGATCACACTAAAACACATAATAATGTATATTTATTTGCTTTCATAAGAGGGATTTGCATAGATGATCTCATTCAGCATCATACTATCTCTATTTTCAAGATTTGACTGGAAAATCTTACCTCCTCTAACCTGGAGGTCAGAAATTGAGTTCGGTCCAAGGATGGGTGAAACCAAGGGATGAGTTTAGTTCTGAGATTGGGCATAATCTGTCAGATAATCCAGATATAACCAAGATTAATGTATTGATTAAATTGATTATAATCTTTTTAAACAAAAGCTTAACTCATCTGAAAATTCATTTGAATTTTGAATGGTTTGCATCCTAAAATTTCTGGTTTCTCTTTTAGAGTTAGAAATGGTTGTGATTATTTAACTTTTTAGAAATAGATGCAATTCCTAAATTAACAGAAGTCTTATGGGCTGAATTATGTTCCCACAAAAATTCATATGGATTCCTAACTCCTTTGTACCTCAGATAATGACTGTATTTGAAGATAGGGATTTTAAAAAAATAATTAAGTTAAAATGAGGTCATATGGATGGGCTATAATCAATACGACTTGATCTTATAAGAGAAGATAAGAACAGATACATGCAGAGAGAAGATCATGTAAAGACACAGGAAGAAGATGACCATCTACAAAGGAAGAAGAGAGACCTCAGAAGAAACCAACGATGCAGACCTACCTTGATCTTGACCTTCTAGCCTACAAATTTTTGAGAAAGTAAATTTCTGTTGTCGAAGCCGCTCAGTCTGTGGTACTTTCGTATGACAGCCCTAGCACACAAT